AGTATTATGAAAAACATTAGAAGGTTTTGAACAAAGGAGTGATATGGTAAGATGTTATCTTTCTGGTTATTGTGTGGAGAATAAGCTACAGGAACAAGAGTGAAAGCAGGGAGACCAGTTATTGTTCCAACAGGTAGGAAGTGATGGTGGCTTGGCCTAGAATGCTAGCAGGAGGATAGTGAGAAAGGGTCAGATTTAGATGATGGTATGAAGGCAGAGTGGGCAAGATTTGCTGAAGGAGTGGATCTGGGAGGTGACAGAGTCAAGGATGATTTCGTTTTTTGGCCTGAGCAACTGGATTTGTGGTTAGAGGTGGAGACAGGGTAACAGGATGGTGTCTTGGGACACTCTGACATTTAGAGTTCAGGGAGAGGAGATGTGTCTGGAGAAGGAGACCAACAAGGAGGGGTCATAAAAGTGTAAAAAAAATTAGGAGAGTGGAGTTGTGTGGGAGTTCAAAAAATAAGAAACTGACTTTAAGTAGGAGACTGATCATGTCAAATACAATTTAGATGGGAACAGAAAGCTGACCATTATGCATGGCCGTTTGGAGTACAATTTGACAAGTGTAGTTTAATCCAAATGATGTGGGCAAGATCTGCTTGGAGTAGTTTAAGACAGAGCAGGAAAAGTGAAGATGTGCAGAGGTAGCTTTTTCAAACAGACCATAATGGGAGCCATTGGAGAATGAAAACAAACATATAGATGATATTCCCTCATATTTATGTGGCAGTAGGAACAATCAATAGAGAGAAGGAAAAATTGATGATGTAGGATGTTTAGATTTAGGGTAGATAATTACAGGATAATTGCAGGATCCTCCCTGCATAGGGGAGAGAATAGGGTCTAGTTTACGAGTTGAGTGGTTGATCTTAGAACACATTGGGGTGATTTTAGTTCATCCCAGGTAATTAGAAGAAAAGGCAGAAGATAGGCAAATAGATGGAGGCAAGTTAAAATTTGTTTCTCATTCACAAGTTGTGTGAATCTGGGTAAGTTATGTAACCTCTCTGTTACTTTTCTCATCTTTAAAGGAGAGAAAGTAACAGTATCTACCACATGATGTTCTTTAGAAAAAATAATTAAAATGACAATTTAGCATAGTATTTTGCATGCATACAGTTTCAGTGAAACATAAATATTTTTTGTAAACTCATGAATAATATTGGGTTAATTTTATGATTATTTTGTAAATGAAGTATCAGGTTTTTACATGCCATATTGCCTTGTTCAGTGTTTTTGTAGACCAGGAGTTGGCAAACTAAGGCTGTGGGCCAAATGTAATTTGGCTGTTTGGTAAATAAAGTTTTGCTGGAACATAGCCATGCCCATTCGTTTAATGTAACTGCTTTCAAGCGACCTCAGCCAAGTTGACCACTTGTTATAGGCCCACAGAAGCCTACAATATTTGTTATCTGTCTCTTTTCAGAAAAAGTTTGTCAACTTCTGCTTTGACTATTTTTACCAGTCTATCCTGTATCCTCTGAGAGTCATATACCTCTTGAAGTTAGAGGTCATGTTTATCAGTGTTTGCATCCTTCTTGCACTGTCTATAGCTGACATTAAGTAAATATTTATGGATGCTGTTCAGATAATTTAGAAGTTTCATCTTCCCATCTCACTCTCTACCAGCCATGCTAACCCCCTTATTCTTAACACTAGGCAAGTGTACCCCACTCCAGTCCTTGAAACTTCCTGTTTCCTCTGCTTGCATGGTTAGCTTTTTCACCTCTTTCAGGTCTTTAATCAAATGTCATTTTCCACTGGGCTACCCTATCTTAAATCACATCTTTGTTCTACCTCCTCCCCAAATTCCTTCTTCCCAAATTTTCTGCATTACATAGTCAGTTATTTTGTTTATGGCTTGTCTTCCCCAAGTAGAATATAAGTTCCATGAGGTTAGGAACATTTTGTCTGTTTTGTTCACTGCTGTTTACCCAACATCTAGAATAGTGCCTGGCAAATATTAAGTGCTCAATAAGTATTTTATGTTGAATGAATTACCGGACTTGGTGATAGGCAGAAATTTCTCTTACTTGATTTCAGAATGCCATTTCCTTCCTTGCACAAGGCAAGGAGCATAAGGCTTTTCCCATGACAACATTTGAGGCAGACTCCAGCATTTGTACAAACTCAGAAGAAGTCCTCAATCTTTCTCTGTTTGATTTCTCAGTAGACTAGGGCCTTGCTACTCAAAATGTTATTTGCGGACCAGCAGATCAGCATCAGCATCACCTGGGGGCTTGGTAGAAATGTAGACTCCAGGGGCTCAGGCAGACCTACTGGATCAGCGTCTGAAGTTCTACAATATCCTCAGATGATTTGTGTCCCTGACAGAGTTTTTCAAGTTTGTAGAGTTTTGAGAACGACTGGCTGTCTTAGGTTATTTGATAATTGCTTATCATTGCTTTAGTTCAGGCTAAAGGTTTTGCTTCACTTTTGGTAATTATCATAGCCCCTCTGTAAAGTATTTTATTTATACTCCCTTTTTAATCTTATTTTACTGTTCAAAACTTCTATCTATTACCTATTCTTAGGGATTAGAAACTGCCAGACTGACAGTTTAACCATAGCAGTTTAGTGAATAGATTGTGCTGCAAACAAAGGCTTCTCTTGTTAGGGATGGCAGGTGTTGGCAAAAATGCTGTCCTTATCCATCTTGTGAGCATGGCAGACATCCTTGTCAATCATGAGATGCTTTACCTTTGATCTTACACTTGGCCTAGAACCCATCCCTGTGTCATCCTTCATGTAGCCTATCCAATGGCATGAATGAACAGGTAAGACTCTGAAAGCTATTTGTTATTCCTTGGTGTCAGCTACACAAAGGCTCATTCACTCATTGTTGCATTCCCATAACACTTATTGAGGTTTTGTCTCATGTTCAGCTCTGTGCTATATAAAGGAGCATCTCAAATATTTCCTGTGTTTTTGTGAGGTTTGGGGGTAAAACTATGCTCCATAGTACATTATAAATATATAAATATGAACTGTTATTTTTAATTTAACTCCTAGCTAATCCCTACCTCATAAAAAATAATCTGATGTATTGAAAGTTCTAGATGCTGAGTACAATAAAGTTTCTTTATTTAGGCTAACACCTAAGATTGTGGTTAAGATTTAACAACTCATGAGGCAATGAACAGAGCAAAAAATTTTTGCTAGAGTGACATTAAAAATTATGTCCTATGACTCTTGTTTTCTTATATCCAATAATATTTAATTCTAATGAGAAAATTTATGTATTAAACTAACTTTCTTCAGGACATGGAATCATCTACCTCTTATATAAATGGTATTATATACTCTTTCAAGGTAGAGAAGAATTTAAGTTGCATTTGTCTTGCAATTCAGGCTTCTGGAATAAAAATATGCCATTAATTCATATGAATCCTCAAGATGGATGTTTTATGTAAAGCTCTTCAGAAGTTGCCTATTCTTAGCATGAAATACTGAACTTGAGAAGTAAATTTCAAGAAAATTTATTCAAGTAGTCTCAGACTTCAGCATTAGTAAGAATATTCTAGAATGCAGGTTTCCAGGCCCCAAGATCAGCTATTCATTTTTTCTCAGGTCTGAGATAGGGATTGGAAATGACCACTTTTAATAAGTGAAATCAGATGTTTCCGATATAGGTATCTCATGGAGTACATTACTCTTCTATTTCAACCTCAGAATTTTTATAGAAATGTCATTAAATATCACTAAATGCTTCAGAACAATACAAATGTCATTAAATATCACTAAATGCTTTAGAACAATAATGCTACTTTATCTGCTTGTGCCATTGCTAGGGTCTATTGACATTTATTTGTTCACTGTGTAATGTAGACTGATTCAGAAATAGTTTCTCTTAGGTAGGTAATATGCTATGAAAGGAAGATGTAATATATGAACATCCCAATTTGGAATTCAACTTTGGTATTTCTGTGTCAGCACCACTAGGCCCAACACACAGTGGATTGTCAGGAATTATTAAGAAATGAGACAAACAGAGCTCTTTGTCTTCTGTCAAGCCTACCCAACCCCAACATTTACTAGGGAATCTGATCTTACTCTGAAATTTATATTATGCTAGTGATGTTTTTGTCTCTGACACATATCACTTGTTACTTTGTGTTATATATTTTGGGATTTCCTATAGAGTTTTTTTTTTTTTTTTTTTTTTTTTTCCCTTCAACTGTCTCATAAATGAACTTTACTTTCTTTTTTTTTTCCCCCATTTATTTATTTTATTGCATTTTAGGTTTTGGGGTACATGTGAAGAACATGCAAAATTGTTGCATAGGAACACACGTGGCAGTGTGATTTGCTGCCTTCCTCCCCATCACCTACATCCTATAGAGCTTTAACAAACGCTTTTCAAAAGTTTGAATTAGTGTAAGTGCTTCTTGAGAGAGTGACCTTTCTTTTTCTGTTTTTATTGTTTTCCCAAGTGAGTAGCACTTTACTTTCCAGTGTGTTAAAAAGGAATATTTTAGCCATAACCAATGTATTTTGAGACATCATAAAGGCTTTTTGGTTCTAGTTTTTACAAATATTTCAATAAAAAACTATTGTACAATCAGCAATCCTTGCACTGATATATCATGTTGTCTTTGTAGAAAATTTATCGTGAAGGTCCAACTATATATTTTCTCGTTTCCTACAGCTTCAAAACATTTAATAAGCTTAAATTACATTTTTCTGACAATTTTATGTTAGTTCTTTTGAAAAGAAATAAAAAGGAAGAGATGTTTCTAGATAAGAGCTAGTTCTCCCAGATACGACCTGTCCTGTGCCTTCTTCCTGTAGTCCCCTGTCCCTTCATGCTTGGCAACCACTGACTAGATGGTTAGTCATATGTGAAAAAGGAAAATGAAAGTAAGAACAAGTCTATAAAGATCAACAGCTTGACACTAAATTTTTACATACAGGACAAATTTTTGGTATCAAAACTTTCTTTTAAGTCATGATTAACAAGAAATACAACAAGGACCTTTAGAATTGTGGGAACTTACCGTGAAACATGAAGTAAGAGCCAACAGGCCCAAGAGAAAAGTTAATTTCATTCTTTAAAGTTGCTCCTAAAAACAGGCCAAAGGTTTTCCATGGTTAGTCAAATCAATTAATAGTGTTTTTCAGAATAACAAATTTAAAGCATTTTAACACTTGTTATATAATACGATGAAGAAAGACCAACATAACCTTTAAAGATGTGTTTGATGTTTTGGGGAAAGGAATCAGAATAGATGCACAGCAATAATGTCATGTTTGTGATTTTTCAAAATAAAAAATGGTGGTACTTTATGAAAGGTAATTTTCCGATAAATGTTGAAAGTACATTTTAAAATTAAAGCATTTTTGGAAATTCCTTGTTACCCTTAGTGGTGACTACTTTGGAACATAACTAATTAGGTATACTTTTAGGATATTTACTTAAAATTAGTCAAAACTTATAGATTTCTATAGATTTGTGACCTAAATATTGTTAATGTGACAGGACTATTGTAAAAAATAACTTCTTAATACAATTATTGTGTTATTATTATTAGACCTGTCTCAAGCAAAAAAAAACTGTGTAATGTGTATTTTTTCTTTAACATCACTCTACTGAGGTATTATTGCCTTGATTTGATTTTTTCCAGGTTATTCCAAAAGACAATTATTGTCTATCAGTGTGTGAATTAGAAAAAAAAATGTTTTTGTCCTTAATTTGTTTATAATTTTCAACAAAATACAATAAGTACATGGCACCCTGTGTTCTGGGAAGGCAAAATTCAAGCACATAGGCTGACAGATTGTCCTGGGGCCCATGTGATACCTGTCATTTGCATTAGCCTTGAAATGACATAAGACAGGTCAACAGATCCTACAGTTTATGTGCATGTGTCTATCCTTTAAAATAGCTTTTTCTAATATGTTTTCATAAAAGCGGTTTAGCAATACATAAGGAACCAGACTCAAGCAAGAACAACAGAAATGCAAATCTATCTTATATATCTTTTTAAGACTCTTCTACTCATGATTGACTTTAGAAACCATAAGATATAGCAGTGGAAAAAGTCAATAGATTGTGAAATTGGATAATTTCACAACTGGATAATTGTGCAACTGATCAATGTGAATGGTCTTGACACTTTTTCAGGAATTTTAAGGCTTGACAATCTTTACCACTGACAACGATTTTTTTTTTAAACACATCTGAGGCCGGGTGCAGTGGCTCACACTTGTAATCCCAGCACTTTGGGAGGCCAAGGCAGGCAGATCATGAGGTCAAAAGATCAAGACCATCCTGGCTAACACGGTGAAAACCTGTCTCTACTAAAAATTCAAAATTAGCCAGGTGTGGTTGCACGTGCCTGTAGTCCCAACTACTTGGGAGGCTGAGGCACAAGAATTGCTTGAACTCAGGAGGTAGAGGTTGCAGTGAGCAGAGATCACACTACTACACTCCAGCCTGGGTGACAGAGCAAGACTCTGTCTTAAAACAAAAACAAAAAACAAAACAAAAAACAAAAACCCACATCTGAGATTTTTAGGTAGCATAGCTATTTCCATTAAAAGCCTTGAGGATGATATTCTTGAGAATACGAGCAAAAGCTGGAGGTCCAAAGTGAAAGTTCTTACATTTATATTTCTAAAAACCTACCTTGGTAGAAGATTCTTCTTTGGAACAAACTACTGCTTAATCTTACTCTTGCCAGATACTCAATTTATGTAGTCACTATTTAAAAGTCCAAGAAGAGAAAGAACTTTGATAGAAGGCCTTTCTTCTTAAATACCTCTGTCTGGATTTTTATTGGAGTTAAGAGAAAGGTTGAGAGAGGGTAAAAGTTCTGTATTGATGTTCTTTACTGAAACAAAGAAATAATAGTTGCAGTTGCCAGTTTGGCAGCTTCATCTATAGAACAGTGATCCAATCACTGTTCTATCAGGCCCTGGGGCAGCACACAGAATGCTGGAGTACAGTAGTTTTTAAACTTGGCTGCACATCACAATTATCTGGGAAACTTTAAAAAAAATTCCAATTCTCAGACCTTAACCCCAGACCAATTTATCAAAAGTTATGGGGCAGGAAGACAGACAAAATAATTTTATTTTGTTTAAGACATTTTATTAATTTTCTTTATGTTAAGTTTTTCCTTCCAACTTTTATTTTAGGTTCAGGGGCACCTGTGTAGGTTTGTTACACGGGCAATTTGTGTGTTGCTGGGGTTAGTTGTACAAATTATTTCATCACCCAGTTAGTGAGCACAGTACCCTCCTCCTACTCTATACCATCAAGTAGGCCCTGGTGTCTATTGTTCCCTTCTTTGTGTTCATGTGTACTCAATGTTTAACTCCCATTTGTAAATGAGAACTTGCAGTATTTGGTTTTCTGTCCTTGCGTTCATTTGCTTAGGATAATGGCTTCCACCTGCCTGCATATTGGTGCAAAGGAGCATAAGAATTTAAAAACTCCCCAAGTTACTGCAAAGTGAAGCTTTGTTTGGGAACCACTGCTGTTAAAGGCTATAGATTCTGGAGTTTTAATGTGTCTATACATTTAATGTGTCTATATATATATATATATATATATATACACACATATATATGTTTCAGTTCTGATATACTATATATACATATATATACATCAGTTCTGTTATCTTACTACACTTGTATATGTATCAGTTCTGATACATATATATAGACACATTATAATCAGCATGCTGATTATGTTTTAGATAGCTTTGTTTCTGTACCTTTCTATGACTCAGGAAATCCTTCAGGTTAATATCTAATACTTCATATATATATATATAAAATATGTAGAGTTGGTTTATTTGGGAAGAAGCTCATTTTAGTAAGAAGGAATTTGACGAATGGAAAAAGGAGGCAGTTGAAATACATTCTTTGTCCTAATTTTGAAAATGACAGGAGATATCTAGTGGTGGGGGATAATTAGAAGTAGAATCCTTATAGTTTCTTATTTTCAATTTCATATTTCTTTCCTAGATGTGTAATTTTATTTAAAGATACTGTACACATGCATTTGAGCTACTTAAAATATTAATAAATAGAAATTACTTAATACATTTTTCTGAAGCTAATAATGAGTACCTGGACTGCTTAATGGATAATACATTCTCCATTATATGTTGTGTTCTGTAAGTATATGGTGTTATCACCATTCTAAACCAGAAGGATGAATATAATGTACACTAGCCTACCAAAGATGGGAGGTATGGGAACATTAAACAATGTGTTTTACATTTATGGCCAAAGGATATAGTAAATCAGACAATTTTGTGTATAAGATGAATGCAGGTACTGAGAAATTTACTCATATGAAATAAAATCTATTTAGTTGAGAGGAAATTTCCATATGCTAGAAAATGTTATGCTTTATTTTCTAATAGCCACAACTTATTGAGTCATTACCATGTCCTAGACTGTGTGCTATTCACTTTATGTAAATTAGCTTTCCTAATGCTCACAACAACCCCTTGCAATTCATGTCATTATTGTTAGATTACTGATAAGATAATAAATTATAGAGGAGTTAAGTAACTCGCTCAAATTCACTAAAATAGCTGAGATAGGAATTGACCTTAAATTTGCCACATTAGAGAGCTTGAATTTTCCCCCTTCCTTATGCTGTTTTTGTCTCTCAAATCCAATTATTTGAACCAGTGAAATAATTAATATATTTTTAATATTAGGACTTCTTGATGCTTGAATGCAACTCATCAGTAATACATGAAATCTATTTAGAAAGTAGCAAACAGAATTTAGAGGATGGATAGAGCAAAATAGAAGTGAATATCGGATTGCATTATATATAAGTACTTTTAAGGATATATTATATAGTTACACATGGCCGTACTGGTTTATTATGTAAAACATATGTTTTCTGTCAGCTCTAGTCAATCAAATGTAAAAGTCTTTTGTTATAGGGTAGTTTAGTGATTGTGTGTAGCATTCAAGTCAGGTAGCCATAAATGAAATAACAAGTCCTCTGCTATTAGCTGTGTTTTATGTGACCAGCTATTTAATCCAATGATGTCTCAACATTGTCGTTTACAAAGTAGGATAGTACTACTTCTACTTCTTGATATTGTTCTGAAGATTAAATAAATAGAACATAGAAAATTGTGACCCATGTTATTAGTAAGTGTTAGCCTTTCAGTGGGAATGTCTTTCTTTGTCATGCAATTTTTAAAATATTCTGGGTTTGATGAATCCCTAGTAAAGGGATAAAACATATTTAAGTTTAAAAGATGACTTAAAAGCTTTTGGTGAAAGAGATCCCGAATAGCCAAGGCAATCCTAAGCAAAAAGAACAAAGCTGGAAGCATCATGCTACCTGACTTTAAAGTATACTATAAGCTACTGTACTCAGAACAGCATGGTACTGGTACCAAAACAGAGATATAGACCAATGGAACAGAACAGGGGCCTCGGAAGAAATTTCACTTGTCTACAACCATCTGATCTTTGAGAAACCTGACAAAAACAAGCAATGGGGAAAGGATTCCCTGTTTAATAAATGATGTTGGGAAAATTGGCTAGCCATCTGCAGAAAGCTGAAACTGGAGCCCTTCCTTACACCCTACACTAAAATTAACTCCAGATGGATTAAAAATTTGAACATAAAATCTAACATCATAAAATCCTAGAAGAAAACCTAGGCGATACCATTCAGGACATAGGCATAGACAAGGACTTCATGACTAAAACACCAAAAGCAATGGCAACAAAAGCCAAAATAGACAAATAGGATTTAATTAAACTTAGGAGTTTCTGCACAGCAAAAGTAACAATCATTAGAGTGAACCGGCAACCAACAGAATGGGAAAAAGTTTTTACAATCTACCCATCTGACAAAGACCTAATATCCAGAATCTACAAAGAACTAAAGAAGATTTACAAGAAAAAAACAAACCTATTCAAAAGTGGGCAAAAGATATGAAAAGACACTTTCAAAAGAAGACATTTATGAGGCCAACAAACATATGAAAAAAAGCTCATCATCATTGGTCATCAGAGAAATGAAAATCAAAATCACATTGAGAGATACCATCTCACATCAGTTAGAATGGCGAATGTTAAAAAATCAGGAGACAACAGATGATAGAGAAGATGTGGAATAAAATGAACAATTTTACACTGTTGATGGGAGTGTAAATTAGTTCAACCATTGTGGAAGACAGTGTGGTGATTCCTCAAGGATCTACAAATAGAAATTCCATTTGACCCAGCAATCCCATTACTGGGTATATACCCAAAGGACTATAAATCATTCTGTTATAAAGACACATGCACATGTATGTTCATTGTGGCACTATTTACAATAGTGAAGACCTGGAACCAACCCAAATGCCCATCAATGATAGACTGGACAAAGAAAACGTGACACATATACACCTTGGACTACTACACAGCCACAAAAAAAAGATGAGTTCATGTTCTTTGTAGGGACATGGATGAATCTGGAAACCATCATTCTCAGCAAACTGACACAAAAACAGAAAATCAAATACTGCATGTTCTCACTCATAGGCAGGTGTCAAACAATGAGAACACATGAGCACAGGGAGGGGAGCATCACACACTGGGGTCTGTTGGGGGGCTAAGAGAGGGACAGAGGGGGATGGGGAGGTTGGGAAGGGATAACATGGGAAGAAGTGCCAGATATAGGTGACAGGGGAATGGAGGCAGCAAATCACCTTGCCGTGTATCCTGCATGATCTGCACATGTACCCCAGAACCTAAAGTACAAAAAAAAAAAAAAAAAGAAAAGAAAACATGAAACTAAAAATAAAAAAAAAGACTTTGCCAAAGA